AGGAGAAAGAATTCCTCCACAACACAGAGTCATAGAATTAGGCAGTTGGAAGGGTCTTTCAGTCACACCTATTTAACAGGATAATTCTGTGGCCAGATAACAGTAAATTCATTCTCCATTCAATGTTGCTAATCTAAATTTATGTAAGTACACAATTTGCTAACTGAATATTGCTTCATGCATTTACAAGTGACAGCAGGGGTGCTTCTGTGTGTCTGACATCCTCTCCTTTTCCTCCTTCTGATCTAGTCACAATCAGCGCTGCTGCTGCCCGTGGGAGCATGGGATCCCTAATGCTCCAAAGAGTAATTCATTGCTCCTCTAAAAGAAGCTTAAGGCAAATGAGCAGATGAAGCCAAATAAAGCCAATCTGTGACTATCTGTGGTTCAGAGTGGTCTTCCTTTAAATTCTATGAAGATAAGGACAGTACCCAGGACATATCTGCTGAATAATTCGATTGCATAAGAAAATTAGTGTTGTGTTTATACCTGAGCTTTGTCACTTCTCACAAATGTGCCATACTCCACCAGCACCCAATCCTTCCAACAGCGCTGCTCAGAAAATTCCTGAGGAGCTATTAAAAGATATATCAGTAAGTCCTCTCATTTTATAAAAGATACAGACTATCACTTGCCACAACTACCTAAAAGCAACATCCTAAAATAATAGGAAACAAGAGGTTGAAATCTGTATTAACCTTAATTCTTCTTAAGAAGAAAGCTGTATTTGTTTAGAAAAAAATCCCTTAAGATAGAAGGTGAGACCTCAGCCCCAGGTTGCTTTAATTTAGGTAAAACTATCCCTAAATTAAAGATGACTCCAGACAAGATGAATCTATCCAGGAGGGCAGAAGAAAAGAGAAAGGAGATGCTGGAAGACTGCACACTCTTCCAGGTGATTCTTTTTTGTGAACCTCCCAAATTTTTGATAAGTTGTTAAAAATCAAGAAAGGCTTGAGAGAATATATTTTTGTGGCATTTGATGAAGAATTTTGTGCCATATCCTGCACGAGGTGAAACCAAAGCAATAAGCTTGGGGACAGAGGTGGGGGACAGAGGTGGGGGACAGAATGTACAGAGAAGCACAGGTGGGGGACAGAGAGTGTACAGAGGAGCACGGGGAACAATACCCTGGAGTTGGACTTGGGTCCAATTTAACCAGATCCTTACAGGACGAGTGCTAGTGAATTAGTAACTGGTGAATGTAAATTTATCAATTAAAAACTTAATCCACAAACTATACACAGCACTTATTTTACATTTATAAAGTTACATGCACTAAAACTCTGTTGCTTGAATAATGGGCACACACAAGTCATTTCAAAAGAATGGTGTCATGTGAAAAAAAAAAATTCTTCTGGCTTATAGGTTATTCCTGAGTAACTTTCCCTTAATTGATCAAAGGACATCTGTTGCTGATCTTCACTTCACCCCAAAGAGAAACTCAAGCTCAGCTGAGATCAGCAGTTGGCTACTTGCAGTTTAGTGGAGAGCGTTCGTAGGTGAAAAGTTTTCACTCATCAATATTCGACAACATCATCGTTTTCCCAGTGTTTCAAATCAGGGAAGATTAGCACACCTGCTAACAGTAACTTTATTTCCAGTCCTTTCAAGAGAAAACTAGCCTGTGCAGCGGAGCACAGGGTGTAGTGCCCGTAAAGGGTAAATCAGACAACTCTCTTATCGAGTGTTGTCCAAGCATCAGTCGTTCGATGCCATCACGGCACACGCCAAGGAACGAGAGACGACAGTGGCTCACAGCAGCTCCGAAACCAACCCCCACCTAATGAAGAAGGCGAGAGGAAAAGAAGATAGCAAAGCAGGAGACATGGAAATGGCTGCTGTGGGCTGAATTAATTTACACCCCGAATAGGTCTTAAAGCGAGTCCCTTTTTATGTAGAGACCTTCACAATCAATGTAAAGTTCCCATATCCAGTGCCGTGCACATAAATCCTGGAAGGATTAGATTGCTTATGGAACAGTAACACTAATAGACCCTGGAAGCCTCCTTTAGTAAGAAGATCTATTTGGACACCCCTCTCCAGCCACAGTCAAGCAGGATGGGTTTCTCTTTTGTAAAAATACAATGGACTAGCCAACATATCGATCGGACCAGAAACAGTGTCTAGAACTTATTTATTTGCTCTGTTCCAAGTCCCAAAAATAAAAACTAACTTTCCCCTAGAGATCACCTGTTCCACAAGGATCTTTAATCCACCCTTGGTTAAAGAAGCTGAGGATGGGAGGAGGAAAGTGGACTCACCATCTGATTGCTGTACCAATATAGCGATGACCCCTTCAGAACCACCCAGAACTTCTTCCATTTGTTGCTTAGGAAAGTTCCTTTTTCCTTTTTCTTATACAGCCACCCTTGGCAGTCAGCATGCCCCAGGTCTTTACATGATATCCTCCTCCGACTCATTGTGAAAAAACCTGCAACGATTACAAGAGAAGGTAGGTCACATATGACCCTAATTTATGTGAAAGGGTGGAAGGTAACCGTTAATTGTTTATCTCCTGGGAGTTGGATTTTTTTTTTTTACCAAGACTTATGCAAAAAAAAAAAAAGAGCAATTTATTTTATTTTTAAATACTCATTTGGTGCTTAGAAGGCACAAGATAGGACCCCGGAAACAGTGAGACTAATATGCAAGTGTTAGTCAAAGAATAATATTTGACAAGAGTAAGTTAAAAAAATTAAAATCCTGAGGCTGGCAGGCACACCATCGCACCAACACAGCTTCTTTCAGCAATAATAACAGCACGAGTTATGCAATAGGTGGAGAAGGGTTAATGCCCACCAAAATCAGCCACTTTCCGACTCAGTGCCAGGTTTTCTAAGCTCTATTGACACACCACGAGGGATTAATCCAAATGAACGGCATGCCATCATTTCTCAAAATCAATCCAAAAATAACCAAAAATTAATCTGCCGTCCACCTCCTCAAATTAGCATTAAGACAGGCAAAAAAAGCTGATCCCAAAGAAGGCATCCAAGAGAAAAATCACACGCACACACGCACACCAAAAGGGATAAAGAAACAAAAGAGATCTAATTACCTTGAGTTTTCTTTCTCGGCTTCTGACGCAAGGGAACCTGCTGGAAATGCAGGAAGGAAAGAAAAGAGGAATTTCTGATTGTGTTGTAACATTTGTAAAGAGAGAAGGAGGGAGGAGGTGGCAGTGTTTATGAGCAGGATGGAAGCTAAAAAAAAACTCTCCAAGCAGAGCAGAGGGAAGCTATGGCTGAGGCACAAAATGTACTAATTAGAATCAATAGACATTGAGCTGAACCTGAAAAAAAAAAAACAACGTAACAACATTTATCACTAATGCTTCCTGTTTCCACCCACAGGCAGCTTTCCCACTATCGCTTAGGGCAGCACACCGTTCGCTGAAGTTCTTTAAAAAATAAAATATTTCCCTTTCATTTTTTGTGAGAGAAGAAAAAAAATAGACCCTGCTCTTGCAATCTCTAAATAACATTGTTTAAATAAACCTGGAAGATGACTGTTGTAGTCTCACACTATTACAGGTTCACCCTGGACTACTCGATTCATGCTCCTAAACCACATAGGATTACACCTCAACCACATGAATTAAATATCCCAGAAACAGGAATTCCGCAGTCTCTTGAAGTATAACTATCAAGCCTCCTTATCAGGAAATTTTTATTTACAGCCAAATCGAAAATGATTTCTTTGTCTTAAGTATCTGTGAACATTTCTCACATGTCTTATGAAAGATAAATTAATTATCATCTTCTATTTTATTATAGTTCTTCAAATACTCAAATCAGGTATAAGACAATATAGATGAAATAAACATTTTTCACAATACATTTTAAACAATTCATATAAAATCAGACAATCAGCAAAAATAGAAAAGTTAGAAAAGTTTTCATATAGCCCTCTGTGAGTGTGTGTGTGTATGTGTGTAAAGACATTTTAGATTAAAGTAGTTTCACTTTTTTCTCCACAATATTTAAGCTGAATCTACTTAGGTTTAAATGACAATTTTTTATACTAACAAGTAGAGAATGTGAAAACATTGTACATAATTGAAAAGCAGTTCTAAAAGTTGGTATGCAATCTTATTACAATATTTTACAACGTTATCACAGATGCAGCCAGCTAGTATTCTACATATCTAATTGCACCTGGCTACTATTCTACATATCTAATTATTGATCTAATAGCTATTGTATACGGTCCTACAAATGTTTAAAGAGTTATAGTGGAAATAAGATGGAATTTTTAAATCCAGAGGCCTGAAATCAACGTATAGCTGTCACAATTAGTAGCTGTGTTACCCAGGAAAAAGTCAATTTACCACTTCTTCATTTGTAAAATCAAGATATTTATAATAATTCCAATCCTATAGGTTGGAATCAGACATATTTAACAAGATTGTACGTGAAAACTGTGAAAACTAAAAAACATTATTTATATGATTAAATGTAACATAACATTCTGTAGTTAGATATAAACAAATATTTTATATCTAATAAACAAAAAATTTCATAGTAATTTGTTTAGGATAAGTAGGACTTGTATTTTCTTCAGCAGCAAAGATGGAATTAAAATGCTTAAATTCTATTTTCTGAGAAAATAGAATTCTATTTATCCCTGAAGAAATTAATCGTCCTTGTGAAAATAGAATTCTATTTATCCCTGAAGAAATTAATCATCCTTGTGAAAAAGGTCATAACAAAATCAATAATTTCCCTAAGTTTTTGGCAAGTATAGACATATCACATTCGATAGATATGACACATAGCTAAAATTTAGGCACGTTATCACAGCAGGGTCCTAGACTCAGCTCTGCTTCACAAATATCTCCTACACTGACTTGCATCTGGATCTAAAATCCCCACCATTCCCTCTAATGGTCTCCTGGGGTCTTTTTTTATATGCAATTGAGATCTGAGATCAGTAAAATTAATCAGTACCTATAAATAGGTACCTATTTTAGCCCAAATATGTATATTATTCGAATAGCTAAAACTTACCTGAGAGCCAGGACTAAAAGCAATGAAGAGAGTAAGTAAATTTAAATAGTGGGAACGATTTGAGAAAATCGGGATCCAGGAGACCCCCAAGGAGCACTCAAGACAAACTAAGAACCAGAGCAACAGGGAGAAAAGGAAATTGTTCAGAAGCATCCCTAGAGGATTCCGGCCCCAAATGAACAAGGTACAATCACATTACAAAAAGAGCCGAGAACAGCTTTAAAAAGAACAAGAGAGAGGGAAGTCAAGAGAGGACAGAAGGCTGTGGATCTACAGGGAAGCAGCACTCACACCATCTCTCCTGACTGGGAACCAGTGAATCTCCTGCACTCATTCATCTCTTACAAACTCCCAGTGGAACTGGGGGCTCTCCAGCTCCACTATCCAACCTTTGGGCTGGTTCTAGAGACAGCCCGGAATCAAGCTGCAGCCTCTGTCTCAATGTCGCCCGAGACCAGCCCTTAGGGAGTTTAGCCAGCTCTCCTCTGATAGCACTTCTCCCAAAGCAAATTATTTTAAAATCTATATAGCTGTTCAAACTGTTTCCCCAAACCAGGAACAGACTACATATTATAGAAATAATAAAGTATAGGAAGTTTCAGTTTCACTTGATATATATGATTTGAAACCTACATTGGTTTACACGAGAGAATGAAAACAATCTTGAGAACTTTAGCGAGTTTAAGATACATCTTACTCCTCACAACAGGAAGTGGAACCCGCCAACTAGTCCGTTTCAAAAAAGAGCTTACATGTGGTTTTTTTCACTAGGTGAGTGAAAAAAAAAAAAAAAAAGCCAAGTGCCTAGTTGAGCATTTTGAGACAGTTTTTCAATAAGGAAATTATAACTTGTTCTCATAACAAATATCCAGAGCCTTGTGAGATATTTTTCTCCAACTGTTTTCTTCCTTTGGGGATATTGTAGGTAAAACTGAAGAATTACTCTTAATTCTGAATTTGCCCTCAGTTGTAAAACTGGGGGAAATTTTTCTTTTAATTATATATTTTATTTAGATTGAAAAAGAAATTTTAAATTGTTGAAAAATATTTGTTTGGTCACTAATCGCTCAAAAATACATGTAGACATACAAAGGAACCAGTACAAAATATACAAAGGGACTTCCTTTCATGTTGAATGATGGCACTAACACCTAGGTTACAGAGTAATTATTATGTTGATTTCTGATCTATATAATAATTGTTAAATCTTACAGGAACAATTTACCCTTACGATATATTAAAATGTACGATAAGATAGTTTGTCATTATATCAAACTTTACAGTGATCCTGTCCTTAGCGAAATTATATTGTGATATGCTAATAAATGTTCCTGATTTGTAGCATCCTACCCAATATTATCAATTTCAATACTTTAACCAAGCCATAAAAATTTCTAAATACTTTAGAGCTGAGCCAATTCCAGTTGATTGAACTGTTGGAAATGTTTCCTCATAAATGCCTTTCCCCCACAGACATCTTTTTTCCATCCTGGAAAATTAAACTCAATTTTTTAAAAAGAATTTTAAAGTTTTTAATTATTAAAATGTTACCTGTGGAAATACATAAAAAACTGCTTAATTTTTTTCAAAGACTACCTACCTTAAATATTATTTAATAAATCAATATTTTTAATAATCTCCAGCAGTGGAAAATGGAGACAGAAAATAGACATTCTAATAATAATAGACTATAATAGAAAACAACGATGGCTAAGAAATATGTATATTTACGTAATGTTTACCATGTGCCAGGCACTACTTGGAGTCTTTTCACAAATATCGGGACTGAAGTCACAATCTATTATGGCTTAGGTGCTATTTTTATTCCCATTTTACAGAAGAGAAAATTGAAGCAAATGGAGGTTTAGTATTTTTCCCAAAGTCACAAACGTAAATGGTAAAATGCAAATCCTTCTTTCAAGAATAAAACCCACAAAGTAGTAGTCTGCTAAGGTATTTGCTTTTATTGTTGATGTTGTATAAAGAGTCGGACAGAGAAGCAAGAACTAGAGTTTGAGGGGAAGGTGGATGTAATGGCACGTTCTACACGGAAGAGAATTAGAAGAAATAAAAGAAGGAAGACTAGGAAGAAGGGGAAGAAGAAAGAGGAGAGAAGGAGTTGCAGGAGAGGAGCAAAAGAAGGGAGGAGAGACAGGGAGAGGAAGGTGGGAGGAGGAGGAGGTTAGAACGTAGACAGCGAAGAGCAGCGAAGTGCCAGGGAAAATCTAGTTTTCTAGCTTAAACAGTTGATAAATGACAGCACTAGAAAGAGCACGGTTTTAAATATATTTAAATTCAGTAGTAAACATATTGAATTTGATGTACACACGTACATATGCATACAAGTGGAAATATTCAGTATATATAGTATTTAAGGATCTAGGAATTGGGAGAAAATCTGGACTAAAAATATAAAATGGGGAATCATCAGCGTATATAGAAAATAAAAGTCTTGAGTTTGTATAAAACTGCCCTCGTGCTTGCTTCGGCAGCACATACACTGAAACCGGACAAGATGCCCGGATGTGTAGAATGACAAAGGGCTGAAGTCAGAATCCAAAGGAAGAGCAGTATGTCACCCAGAAGCAGTAAAAGAAGAGACTGAGCAGAACAGCAATGGAAAAATAAAGAAAATCTGGAAAGGGGCCGTCGTGGATGTAAGGGAGTGATTTAAGAGAAAGGTGGGTCTAAACCATCAAATGCTGCCAATATAAAAGAGAAAGAAAACGTTCATTAGAAATCCTGGCAAAAACAGTTTCATGGTCGAGTTGGGCTAGAAGACAAATTCCAGTGAGTTGGGAATGAATTGGAAGTGAAGAGATAAATACAGCATTGAAGACTACTCTTTCAATAATCTTCATGTTCAGGGTTTAAAAATTAATTTTGTGCAAAATAAAGTTATCTTTGAATTTTTTATTCTATATTCTATCTTGCTTAGAATTTTTAAAATCTGTCTTGGAATTAAAGTTTGCAGAATTGTGAGTAGAAGGACTTTGTGTTCTCTCTCTCTCTCTCTCTCTCTCTCTCTCTCTCTCTCTCTCTCTCTCTCTGTCCCCCTCCCTCCCAGCCTCCTTTCCCCCACTTCCCTTTCACCTATTGTGCCTATGGCTCCCTCTTTATCAATCTGGAGGTCGCCTCCACTGGATGTGTTATCAGTCCTACGGTTATGTCCTGAG